GCGGCCTCCGGAATGCCGCCCGTGTGGCACGTCCGGAGCAACAAGCCACACGGAAGGGCCCTTTGTTGGGCTGCTGCTCCTGCAGGGCCACGGCGAGGGGGAAAGCGAGAGGCTGTGGCAAGAGCAGGAACGCCGGGCGCGGATGTCGGGAGCACCCACACGAGCCGGTGGCAGGGCTGCAGAGCTCCCCTACGAAGTCCCCGAGGGCAGTACCTCACGTGCAAGACCTTGCTACAGGTGATTCCAACAAGCGTGGTAATAACTCAGGTTTAAATGCAGGCTCTTGGACTACAAACAAGGTCACATTCGATAGTGACAATGGGTTTGACAGGTGACCAGGAAAGGGAAGGCAATAGGACATGGAGAAGGCAGGAGGACGAGGGAAAGGATGTGAAGCCACAGAAGTCACTGTGAGCAAATCACAAACCACTTGCCGTTGAGTTCTACACCTCACGTAGCGACAGACACCTGGCTCTCCAGTCTACTTCAATATTCCATGTCATCCCTGTCTTCCCTTCGGTATTACCCAACACTCACATTGACAAGGCCGGTGGCGTACCAGCCTGGTGAGAAACTGAGAATTACGGACAGCCTCCAGCTCCTGCTGCCAAGGAAGGGTTTGGAGCCACCACAGCCTGCTCTGCGCTCCAGTATGGGCACGGCCAGCCCTTGACCAGTGTCCTTATCCTGCGCCTTATGGACAGGTTTGGGCCCTGTCCAGCTCCCAGCTGAGCGTGTCACCTCTACCGGCCCTGCCTGCTGGCTTCGTTGTAGAGATGGGGCAGGGCAATCTCCGCAGCGAGCCAAGAGACGGGTGAAACAACACAAGTTTTGCAAGACAGAAGGAGGAGAGTGCTCTTTTGTGCTGCTACCCAGCAAACTGCTGTCCTTGCTAGCCAAATTTCGTAATTACTTAAATTTCTCAAATTACTACCTAGCTCAGCTAGGCAACTAACTGCATTTTCACAGAGACCTGAATTACTTTCCCCCCCAAACGTGCTACCCAACCAGTGCACCTAAAGCCAGGTTTCCAGCCGACCCTCCGTATTAGGGCCCAGGGAGCCAGAGGTTCAGAGCTGAAGCCCGCCGCGTGGTCCGGGGTCACATTCCAACGCCAGCCCTGCAGAGAGGAAGACCCTGGCATCTGGAGCTCCCTCTTGAGCTGTGGGGGAAATAAATGGCCGGGCTCGAAGGGTGTTACATTTTTTCCAATACTAATTACTTGGCTCAGTTTCCCATGTTTGCTCTCTTCTCTAGTAATTCCACAGAGAAAATCAAAGTATTTCTAGTCATTTCGGGATCCCGAACTTGACACACAACATCTTCTCTGTGCAAATACCTTAATCCTTCTCTTACAAAACTCTTTCCCTAAAGCAATTTTTTTTTTTTTTTTGGCCAATATCTCAGTAGCTAATATGACCTTTCAGCATGCCCAATGACACCCAGAGCAGTTTTAGAGGGCAAAAAAGCTCCGTCTGCCGAATACCTCCCTTTGAGGCAGACATAAGGGGTCTTTTTAACCGTACACCAAGCCGACACGCGGCGGGTCTCCCGCAGAGCCGATAACCTTCACACGGCCCGAGTTCATTTCTAAACCCCATCTCGTCCCGCACACCGCGGGCAGCGGCTGTGAAACGCAGTCACGCCAACGGCGAGTTGGAAAGTTTTAAGAAAAGCCAATTGGGACTTCTAAAGCTTCCAAGACATGAGAACAGCTTCTATATATGCTCTCAAGAAGAAAACTGGTTACTGTAACTTTTCAGAAATACAAGTTTCTGTGATGATGAGGAGGTTGTTGCCAATGATCCTGCAGCAAGTCTCCGCCGTGCGCTGCCCTGAGAGGCCCGATCCCCTCCAACCGCTGCAGCTCGGGCAGGAGCCCGCTTCCAGCCCCGGCAGGAGCCCGCTTCCAGCCCCGGCAGGAGCCCGCTTCCAGCCCCGGCAGGAGCCCGCTTCCAGCCCCGGCACAGGGGGCATCAGCCGAGCAGGACAACCCAACCAGCACAATGAATAAGTAAATAGATAAATCACATTTCCCAAACAGGAACATAAAAGGGGCATTATTTTACCAGGCAACCCTTTGTCTCCAAGAAAGCTTTACACAGCGGCAGCAGATTTGTTTAGGGGTGGAATGAAAGCTCATCAAAGCCCGCAGGTTTAACCGCCCATCACCTCGTCGGGGCGGGCGGCAGGGCGAGGGCAGCCGGGCACTAGCAGGGCGCGGGCCGCCGCTCCCCGGGCCGGGCCGGGCCGCACGGGGGTCGGGCCGAGCCCCCAGCGGCGGCCGCGGCAGCAGCGGCGCCGCGCGCCCCGCTGAAGAAAGCGGCCACACGGATAAATAACGAGCCCGTACAGACGTACTGGGGCTTACTGGCCATGGCCGTCGCGCTCCGCGGGGACAAAGCGCA